ATGCGGTATTCTTGTGAATATAAGACCGGTAAGAAGTGACGACAACAATGTAATGAACCGCAGACGAGAGAGACTGACGATTGAGTCGAGCACGTGAGTCGTTCGTTGTGAATTATAGCGTTTGTTTTAGCGTGACTGTGGAAATTACGTGTATTGCAAAGTTGTATTCAGAAAGAATAAACCAGTTTTATTTAAGAAAGGACTTGTATTGGTAAAGTTTCTTTCGGAAAGAATTTTTGCGGAAAATTAACTAACGACCAGAGACGTAACAATAACCTTTGCTGTGGCTTTAAATCTGGATTTCACAAACCAATAATCAATGCTTTAATATGTAACCAAAAACACTTCAGTTTAATAACCTGCTTTTTAAACCACTCCCAATAAAATTCCTAAACAACGTAAAGTTAAGTTAAGAGTTTAAAAACAACCACCTAAACCCGTGTCATTTATTTCAGGTCACATGTAAAATAAACCGAACTTTTGCTTAAACATCTATGTTTTCTGGTGCTGTTCGTTGTCTCGGCAAAAATGTAACTTTGCTAATATTTAAAAATGTTTCTAGACTTACAATGCTAAAATTCTCGGTTCACCAATGTTCCTTCTAATTTTTTTCAATCCAGGTGCGGAATGAACATTTATGTGCACCAGTATCATGGCAATGTGCGGCTGTGCGCTACCAGTTTCTTTTATTGGGGGGGGGGGTATTTTTATACCATCGACCCTATTGGATTATTAGGCCGCTTTGCAAAGTTACCAGTTGGCTATTTGGGCTTTAGGCCTATCGATGGCCAGGGTCATTAAGGCCGTCAACGTGTTGAGACTCCCCATCATTAATGGGGAAGTCCTATTTTATGAAAGATAACAAGGTGTTAATATTACTGAAAGATAATGTGGTTTCTTTTGTTTTCAATTTAAACTATTTTTTTTTCCAGAAATATCCGAAAACGATTACTTTGTGTTGAATTTTGCGCAAAGCTACAGGGAGGGCTATCTGTGCTATCCGTCCCTTATTTAGTAGTGAAAGACTAGAGGGAATGTAGCTAGTCATCACCACCCATTGCCAACTCTTGAGCTACTTTTTTTACCAACGAATAATGGGACTGACCATCACATTAGAACGCCCCTTCGGCTGAAAAGGCGAGCATGTTTAGTGAGACGGGGATTCGAACCTGCGACCCTCAGATTTTGAGTCCAGCGTCCCAACCACTTCGCGATGCCGGGCCATAAAATAATGTGCCTAATAGCACATCGACAAAACACTAAATATAAATATTACTTCACGATATAGAAAAAGACGGGAAAACGACAAGATAAGTTTGAATTAAGACATTGCACTACGTCCATCACGAAACAAATATTATAGGAAATTATTTCAGTTACATTTGCTACGCTAGTTTATAATTTTTTTAAATCTAATTTCGCATATATAAATTATAATAGGTACCATATTCCGTTACCAAGAAAAAGGCATTATATAAGGCATATTACTATTAATGTTATGTTTGCTTCGACCCCTATCCTCCAACCAGAAATAAGAAAGAAACAACTAACATAAATATCAGTGGTATATTCCTATTAAAATACTTATGAATTAAATTATAGCGTTTTTAGTGTCCATCCTTTGAGGTATAGCGTAACATGGTTGTTCACGATCTACGGTAACAATGTGTATATCCAATCTCCATCTTTGTGACTAAACATACTTAAAGCTCTGACACAATATGTATATCCAATCACCTTGCCATAGGCATTCTTGTGACCAAACATACTTAAGATAGCACTTAAAACTGGGCAAATTTATAAATTGAGGAAACACTTTCTTACATTTCTTATAACCTTGAAGTATGATGTCGCAATCTCTGAAAGTACACTTTCAGTCATATATGTCATACGCATTATAAATGTGGCAGGGATAGAGAAATACATAACAAGCATTTTTAACACCACAGCTTTACTCAGGAATGACAAAAACGTGAACATTGATACACATGCTCTTTGTGAGCATTCTCATAACTTGAATTAAAACATTTGCAAATTTTCTGCAACGTTAACGAGCTATGGGCGATAAATTCTGATTAATGCCTTAGTTATAGGTAATTAGACTCATAGCAAGACAATTGGTAAAGATTTTTTAATTTTAAATTATTCAAGCTATGGAAGAGTGTAATATCAACAAGTGTGCTAAATTTCATGCTGATGATTGCTTTAATAGTGAAGTGGTAACGGAATGAAAACAAACTAGACTTATTTTTAATCACTTGCTACAGGTTAATTAGTAAAGATTTTAAGACAAAATGAGTTATTTATGTAGAAAAAGAGATTAAACCTTCGATTTAGGCTAAATTTGAAAAATGTGATTTTTGACATAATGGGGGCGCTCTTTAAGGGTCAGTGCTATCTTAAAGCTCTGATACAATAAACTGCCCAATCACCTCACCCTAGCCATCCTTGGGACTAAACACTAAACACATTTAAACTTAACACTCTTTGTTGCAATTTACTTGACGTGTGATGACTTATAAGTGCCATGGTACCTAAAACTGGCCCATTTAAGGAGGGTTACATTACAAGTTTTTTGTTTTTTTTTCCGATGCGAAGTTTTGTTCCAAGATTATAAAAGCATGCAAGGCACAGTACTCTGGCGTTTCGAAGAAAAGGATACCTGTAGTGCTGAATCGTATAGGTAAAGCTATACACACACACATACTATCATCAGAAGTCACCCAAGAACACTGCGGACCATTTCAACTAAATTAAGGACCTCTTTTAGAATTGTCGATATGGTAGCAAGCACGAATTCAGGGTTATAAGTGGTATTTACAAGATATAAAGCCGAACAGAAGACAAAAGCTGTACGAGACATGTGACAAATGAAAGTATGTCGTCACATTCGATGAAACATATGTTTACTTAAGTAACTGCAAACAGTCCGGGAAATTTAGTATTGTCCTGCCAGAGATATAACACCTAGAAAATGGCATAAAGCATGCCACAGTAGTTTTTCCATTGGATTTATGGTGGTTGCAGGTGACAATTATTTGACGATAAGCATCCCAAATATCCAGACAAATGCCAAGGTGAACTCTCCATGTTATCAGACAAACCATCCAAACATACGTCCACATGCCAGTGGATTCTGCATTTTGGGGTTGTCCAAACGGGTTCGCGGCACTCATCAGCATATAGATAAGCTTTTGAAAGCATATAAAGAGGAGAACGAGCAACAACAGTGATGGTAAAAGGCCTAGGAACTCAACCTTCGATCGTTACCATAGGTCATGAACACCTCTCCACACTAAGATACCTAACAGCAGGAGACAACATTAAAACACCATTCACGATTCTTTTGTATATGTTAAAACTCTGAGAGATCCTATCGTTATTCTATACAGAATAGAATAATTTTAATATCGTCGTGATAGAAACAAAACGAAATCAAGATACTATATTTTATATGTTGGTTTGTGTTAGAATCACCCTCTGTGGCTGCATGCTTCTAGAATAAATTTAGTTACGTTTAAATCTTTCAGCGTTATTAATAAAGAAATATGATATTTCCCTGGGAAATATTTTATTACTTGAACTTGTGAATCATTAAAACAGTGTTTTATAAGTTTTCTTTTTATGAAGTTAAAAGCTAACAGCTTCTATATCTATATTGTAAACACATGCCATTTTACATTTATTCCCCGACACACACAAAAATATTAATTTCAATTTTTACATAACTGTGGTTTAAAACACAAAAAAAAACAAAGAAAAAAATTCAAGTCATCTGATTGGTGAATTTTGTAATAACATAATAAAATACATAATAAAATTAGCATGCTTACTACCAAATCTACCCATCTAAACCTTTTTTGTTAAATTACCAATATTGTTGTTGATTTTTAGACTGCTTCATATCAGTATCTTTAGGTAAGTCACAGTTTTCTAGTTGTTCCAAATTTATATTTTCTCCATGTTCTCATTAGTTTGTTGGGTCTTAGTGACCACAAAGCTGAAAATTTTGGATAACCGATTAAAAAACATTCGCATGAGAAAAGAGAAAAATGATTTCTGTAGTACAACTTTTTTTGTGAAATTACAAGTTACATAAAAGTTTTGAAAAAAGTACAATTTAGTCTTGTTTGTCTTTCATACAGTATACAGATTGAGTCTTGTTTGTCTTTCATATAGTATACAGATGGAGCTTTGTTTGTCTTTCATATAGTACGTAGTACCTCACCGCATTTATTGTTCTTAACCTAACTGTGAATATTGTGCTTGTTTGTTATGAAATAACCAAAACCCTTCTCACTACGAACACCAGAACTTGTGTTTTTATTTCATTCACAATCCAGCTTTTGTACTTACCGGTTACTCACCTGTCGACCATATTCCGTCGTTTCTTCTGTTATTGCGGTTTTGACTTACCTTTAATCCGCACGCTATCATTAAATACCATACAAAAGACGAAATAAGAAATGAAACAACTATTATTTTTCCATTCATAAACGTATTTGATGATACGAGAAAAAAATAAGCTTCATGTTTAATTACACCTATTTTCTACATCACAGTAATGAATAGTAATATCTTACCTGTGATCCACTGTCGATGTCATCGTCTCCTCTGTGGCCCACTGGAAAGAAAAATAACACACACATATATATAAATAGTTAGGAATGATTAATTATATTATGCTTAACGTTAATTACAAACTTCAATAGCTTGATTTCCACAAAGGTAAAAATGATAAGAAGTCAATTCGCTTCATATACTGTACATTTCTTAAAGCGACATCTAATAACTACCTTGTTGGCTTCAATAAGTGTCTCATATAGGAACTACCTTGTTGGCTTCAACAAGTGCCTCACCTAGGAACTACCTTGTTGGCTTCAACAAGTGCCTCATATAGGAACTATCTTGCTGTTTTCAACAAGTGTCTCCCCTAGACACTACCTTGTTGGCTTCAACAAGTGCCTCACCTAGGAACTACTTTGTTGGCTTGAACAAGTGTCTCACATAGGAAACTACCTTGTTGGCTTGAACAAGTGTCTCCCCTAGAAACTACTTTGTTGGCTTGAACAAGTGTCTCCCCTAGAAACTACTTTGTTGGCTTGAACAAGTGTCTCCCCTAGAAACTACTTTGTTGGCTTCAACAAGTGTCTCCCCTAGAAACTACCTTGTTGGCTTGAACAAGTGCCTCACCTAGGAACTACTTTGTTGGCTTGAACAAGTGTCTCCCCTAGAAACTACCTTGTTGGCTTCAACAAGTGCCTCACCTAGGAACTACTTTGTTAACCCCAATAAGTGCCCCAACTAGGAATTACCCCGTTGATTTCAACAGGCGTCTCATTTGGGAACAACTTTGCTAACCTCTATAAGTGCCCCAGCTACGAACTACCCTGTTTATTTCAACAGGTGTCTCATCTGGGAACTACTTTGTTGATTTCAATAAGTGTTCCGTCTAAGAATTACCATGCTGACCTGAACAGGTGCCTCACTAGAGTCAAGGGTTTAGTAATACAAATCAATTCGTAATATGTTGGATTGCATTTATTAAAAAATATGTTTGAAAATGAATTATGTATTAAACAATTTAAAATCTTTATGTGATTGTGCATGTAGTTAGTAGTTTAGCTATTCACAAATATACGTTTTGTGTTAATAGAGTAATATTTGATACTGTGGATTTCTAAAAACAAACAGCTACTAATACATCAAATATTCTAAAGCATTAAAACTTATTGCAAATGTAAAAAACAGGTAATGTCAGTTCAAAAACACGACTGCTATAAAACGAATAAGAACGTCGAAAAACTGATGATATCAGCGACACAAGTATGTCACAACAACGTACAGCATGGTACTGCATATTTTACACGTCACTGTATGTATTTATTCTCAACCTTAAACGTGACTGTTTTAGCTCGATCAGTCCGCTCCTGGACAGGACACACCCATGTCGGATGTCACAGTAACTTGACATCTACTGGTTTAGACAAACTTCTGTAACTTCACGTTTAATATGACAAGTGTTTTATGCAAACGTAGCGACTTTACGGCAGAGTTCTGCATGTAGCTCACACCTCCAACTTAGATGAAAAAGTGCTGAGAGAATCGAAACTGGTAGTTATGTTAACATGAAACAATATAAGGTATAGAAAACAGCACGAGATTGCTCATGAGCCGTCACTTGTCCAAATCAACTGTGTAAGCAAATACTCAGAGTTTCAACCCCGTACTCAAGAGCGAGGGTAAAAATAAAATATATACATTTAATAAGGTATTTTTATAACCACATTTTAGGTAATGTAACCAAACATCATGTAAGAGATTAGGCTGTTAAAATCTGTTTTACTGAAAACTAAACCCACCTACAACGACATTGAAGAAAAAACTGCCAATAATATTTAACCTAACACGAATATGCCCTAAAGCTTCTGTTTCTTACATTTATTGTTTTTATCTAATACTGAACAAATGTAGAACAAGTCAAAATTATACAAGCACAAAACACCAGACCACTGTGCTCAACTTTTATTTGCCAAATTAATCATACTTTCGTTAAAAAAAAATAATAATACATCACCTCTCAAAATATCGATGACATCATACAAACAACAGATGGCGAGGCCTAATTAACGTCAAAGTCGCTTCAAGCCTTTTTACATCACAGATTTTATCCTTAAAGCGTTTAGTAAAGGCTGGCCGAGACAGCAAACCTGACTTTTTATGTATTATTTACCATGCTACTTGACTATAAGAATTTACTTTGTTGATATAATAATTTCTGCTATTGAGGATTATTAAAACGCTCTCATTAAAATATTTAAAATTGTATATTAGATTAAAGCCAAGAATATCTATTTGGTCCCTCCAACAGTTTTTATATTATTTTGTTTTGAATTTCGCCCAAAGCTACACGAGGGCTATCTGCGCTAGCCGTCCCTAAT